CGAGTTTAGTCATTCCGTAAGATGATAATAAGTCAATCCAATGCTTTCCACCATTTTTTGTGTTTAAATATGATGTAACCAAAAATGATAGTAACACCAAAATGGTGTTGGGTTTTGCTCCAATGGTTTACATTAATTTTTACATTAAAATAGAATATTTTTAATAAATTTTTTTTTTTTTTAAATTTACAAATCAATCTCACTTATTTTTTAAGTTTAAAAAATTATAAAATAAATTAAATTTAATATTTATTATATAAAAAAAATATTATAACATATAAAATATCAAAATATATTAAGTTTTTGTTTAATTATTATCAAACATATTAGATTTTAAATTTAAATATCATAATTTGTATATGTTTTTATTAATTTTAAAGTGGATTAAAATTTGAACGAGCTTTTTATAAATAAAAAAGACCTATTTTCTACAAAAATAAATAAAAATAGGAGTGGTGTATCGTTTACCGTCGGAGATGCTCTAGTACCCCTTTATAGACGCTTTGTGTAATCTAATATTTTTGAAAATGACAATTATACCCTTCGTTACACACATAGTGAAGACCTTCGAGTCAGACGAAGGGCAGATATCGTTGTATCACGTTTTTTCTCTCTCTCCTCGATCAAGAAGACGACGACGACGACCTCTCTCTCTACCGGAGAAAAGAGTCTCGGAATTCGATTGAATCGTTAAATTCTCCGGCGATCTCATCAGAATGAGTAACGATCTTCTCAACATCGATCCTATCGATCTTCAATTCCCTTGTAAGCTTTGTTATATTCAATGATTGTTTTCGCATGCTAGATCTACCTATTTCCGATGTGTTCGATTGGTTTGATTTGTGATGTTTGTAGTTGAATTGAAGAAACAGATCTCTTGTTCTCTGTATTTGGCGAACAAGACGGATAATTATGTCGCCTTCAAGGTGGAATTCAATCTTAATTTTCTCTATATCTTGGGAGATTTTTGTGTATCTTAAGGTTTTTGTGATGGTTAATTTTGTTAGGTTAAAACAACGAATCCGAAAAAGTATTGCGTTAGGCCTAATACTGGTGTTGTTCTTCCCAGATCCTCATCTGAAGTTCTAGGTTTGTTTTCTGACTCTGTTCTCTTTTGTAATAGATCG